GCCAGCCATCCTGCCTGCCTGCCTGCCTACCTGCATAGTAATATTGCACTGGGTCTCCTATATCTTTTTCTGAATCAGCTCTCTGCACCATCAGAAGTTCAATTGAGCATTTCCAGAAAATATCCACGCACCACATGGACGGTCGCTTATTGAGGGCGAAACCAATCAGATTGCAGGAAAATTTAAATGGACTAATCAAAGACCGGATTTGGCCCACGTGACCAACATTTGGCGAACCTGAAAATTCGCCCTAGTCTCCTTTTTAGATAAAAGTGCTGGTCAAAACCTTGAAACAATCAGAAGTTCGGATTCTGCCCACGTGACCTTACAATCACGCCAGCACCAGAAATGTGTCACGGTAGGGTAAAAAATCATGTCTACACCGGAAATGAGTTTAAACCGAGGATATTACATGCCCGCAAGTGGATACAAATTTTATCTTCAAGTGTTCAACTCAATATCTCACAAGTGAGCACAGCCAACGAGTGAGATATTAAGTTGAACACGAGAAGATAAAATTCGTATCCACAAGCGGGCATGTAATATTCTGTTTATTATATAAACATACTAATGACGATGTTTTTGACGATTTTGCGAAGATTTGCGACCACTTTCCGAAGATTTCCGAAGATTTTCCAAAAGTGTTCCGAAGGCCCGATGAACATTTTCCAAGCACTTCCAAACATTTTCCGAAGATTACCGAAGATTGCCTAAGACGACCGAAGAAGATCCGAAGATGTTTTAATCATACATCAACAAATTTAAGTGCAGTTAAAGCGACAAAAGAAAAATGTTATCAAAAAGGAGTGATATCTTCACAGTGTAAAAGATAAAAATAGTATCTTCACTGCACGCGATGAAGATATGATTTTTTTAGTAAAAGGAAAAATCCTGGTATTTCACCGGTGTTTGTATAATAAAACGTTATTTTTTATCACCTACAATTTTATAGGCGGTACAAATGTCACTCCCTGGTGGAGGACACCCAAACTTTGAAAAATAAACAAATTACAATATTGAGTGAGTCCACCCGACTGACCGTGTACCATTCGAAGCTGATCCGTCTTAAGACGCACCACTCAGCAGGTGAAAAAACTATTTCCAAATGCAATAAATTGTCGATGTTCTCCCTGTCTACGTATTCCGGATGGACTCGGGTGTAGCCATATGGGTAGAACTAGAACGACTTGGGAGCCGTAATTTTTGGGACTGGCCGAAGCGAACTTAACGATGTGGTCATCCCAGTTGAATTCGTAAGAAGTACTGGGTTTTAATTAATTGAAAATGGCTGCCGATAAAACATTCGAGAAAAGCTGGAATAAAAGATGTAAGCAAATCGGGCACTAAGTGTTAGGCAGGTGAAATGCTCACGTGACGAATCGATGACGTCATTGGTGGGATATCAAAAACAAACTGCTTGATGGTTGATAGTGTTTTTGTTATAATGAGGACCACGTGATTATTATGTATANTATGCAAATGAATATATGAAAGATCATATATTTGAACTGCGGAGAAAGATATGAAGACATGATTGATCATCGCAGTTATACACACAACTTAAGCACTTGTGAAATTACAGCACTGCACCGGTATTGCAGAGGTCATGGGTTTGAATCCCGCTCAGGCTTGAATTTTTTTCAGGCTTTAATTTCACATGGAAATTCATGGCACGCTTTTATAGGGGATGCCCCTCAATGGGATGTGCCCCTTTATGGGAGGTGCCCTTTTACAAGAAGTGCTCCCTCACGGGAACTGAGTTGCTTCTTTATGGGAGGCACTATTGGTACCCTCTGTGGGAGTGTGTTCTTAAATATAATAGGAGTTGTCTCTCTGATATACATAGGATATCTCGTCTTACAGTTCAGTAGTTTAACACAGCAGTAATACTTGCAGCTAAACATACACTCACTTGAGGAAGTTTGATTCTGCTATACAAATCCCTCTCACCATCAAAAGCAGGGTGGTGACCTTGGAATGTTGTATCTTTGTTCCTTCTTATAATTCCATGAACAATATCTCTTTTCACTGATCGGGGACACTTGTCTGGGGTAATCTCTACATCGTAGTGGAAGACATCGGATAGTTGTGATGAAATATTTAGGCGAAAGAAGTTTGCCCTTAACCTTATAGGGCGGCCTGCAGTACCATAGTCTGGTCTTTTGGTGGGAATTGAGTCACAAGCCCATTGAGTTTGACCACCTATACGTTGAAGAGGAACCAACAAACATTAATAAATTAATCAATC